TCTGTTAGCACTGACTAACCTTTGTGTTAGCACTGACTAACCTTTAGCTGCGTTAGCACTGACTAACCTTTATCTCTGTTAGCACTGACTAACCTTTAGCTGCGTTAGCACTGACTAACCTTTATCTCTGTTAGCACTGACTAACCTTTAGCTGTGTTAGCCTCCCTGTAGTCAGTGTCCACAGACAGTCAGTGGGTCATGATCACTGACCCTCCTCCTTCTTCTCCTTCAGTCCACTGCTGGATGGCAAGATGCAACGACTCCATCTTCTGTAACATCTCCGACAGAAGGACCTGGGAGTGTGAACTCTGATACCTCGAACTGATCCACTGACCGTCTCCTGGTCCACTGACCGTCTCCTCCATCTCCTGGTCCACTGACCATCTCCTGGTCCATTGACCGTCTCCATGTCCTGGTCCACTGACCGTCTCCTCTATGTCCTGGTCCACTGACCATCTCCTGGTCCATTGACCGTCTCCATCTCCTGGTCCACTGACCGTCTCCTCCATCTCCTGGTCCACTGACCGTCTCCTCCATCTCCTGGTCCACTGACCGTCTCCTCCATCTCCTGGTCCACTGACCGTCTCCTCCATGTCCTGGTCCACTGACCATCTCCTGGTCCATTGACCGTCTCCATGTCCTGGTCCACTGACCGTCTCCTGGTCCACTGACTGTCTCCTCCATGTCCTGGTCCACTGACCGTCTCCTGGTCCACTGACTGTCTCCTCCATGTCCTGGTCCACTGACCATCTCCTGGTCCATTGACCGTCTCCATGTCGTGGTCCACTGACTGTCTCCTGGTCCACTGACCGTCTCCTCTATGTCCTGGTCCACTGACCGTCTCCTCCATGTCCTGGTCCACTGACTGTCTCCTGGTCCACTGACCGTCTCCTGGTCCACTGACCGTCTCCTGGTCCACTGACCGTCTCCTCCATCTCCTGGTCCACTGACCGTCTCCTGGTCCACTGACCGTCTCCTCCATGTCTTGGTCCACTGACTGTCTCCTGGTCCACTGACTGTCTCCTGGTCCACTGACCATCTCCATGTCCTGGTCCACTGACTGTCTCCTGGTCCACTGACCATCTCCATGTCCTGGTCCACTGACCGTCTCCTGGTCCACTGACCGTCTCCTGGTCCACTGACTATCTCCTTCATCTCCTGGTCCACTGACCGTCTCCTCCATGTCCTCGTCCACTGACTGTCTCCTGGTCCACTGACTGTCTCCTGGTCCACTGACTGTCTCCTGGTCCACTGACTGTCTCCTGGTCCACTGACTGTCTCCTGGTCCACTGACTGTCTCCTGGTCCACTGACTGTCTCCTGGTCCACTGACCATCTCCATGTCCTGGTCCACTGACTGTCTCCTGGTCCACTGACCGTCTCCTCCATCTCCTGGTCCACTGACCGTCTCCTCCATGTCCCGGTCCATCATTGACTGAACGTCTGAGGACATGGTTTTGTTTTTGTTTTTTTGTTGTAACGTCATCTGTGTTTTATGATGGTCTGCTGTCTACACACTCACACACACACACACTCACACACACACACACACACACACACTCTCACACACACACTCCTGTATATTTACCCCATGGTTTGAGGCCTGGTTGATTCAATTACCTTTGTCCATTTTCATAATCGGTTCCGTTGACGTTCCTCCTCCGTCAAGTTCTCGCGGTCTCGGCTCAACACCGCTGGCGTTGACAGCTAGGTGGCAGCGGTGTGCTTCCTCCAGACTGATCGTGGTCTGACGGCCGCGTGCATCGGTACATCGGTACATCAGGGGCACACCCCTCCTATTTGATCCTTTGATGTTTACTATGTAAATATGTAAACTTTTTTCTACTGCTAATGAAAATCAAAGTCACACAGTAGATCATTCTTAGGCAGTACGAGAGCGCCCCCCCCAGTCCACACGAAAGGTTGTACATAATATAGTTAAAGACTAATTATCCGTCCAATCATCAGTCTGCGGCGTCGTCACCTGACTCACAGGAAACGACGACAACGAAGACGAAGACGAAGACGATGAAGACGACAACGAAGACGGCGACGAAGACGGCAACGAAGACGGCGACAAAGACGGCGACGAAGACGGCGACGACGACGGCGACGACGGAGGGCGAGGAG